TTGAGTGGTAGTTTTGTTTGTTTGATTGTTTGTTTTTGCGGTACGCGGGCCTCTCACTGTTGTGGCCTCTCCCGTTGCGGAGCACAGGTTCCCAACGCACAGGCTCAGCGGCCATGGCTAACGGGCCCAGCCGCTCCGCGGCATGTGGGATCTTCCCGGACCGGGGCACGAACCTGCGTTCCCCTGCATCGGCAGGCGGACTCTCAACCACTGCGCCACCAGGGAAGCCCTGAGTGGTAGTTTTATTAGTACAGTAAGATGTTTCTGATTCTTCTTAGATATTTCCAAAATCTGTATAATGTTACCACTTTTATAATTAAAAAAAAAAAAAATCTTCAAAAGACTGTAAAGAGATTTTACTCTTCTTTAGGAGTTTGAGAGACACACATACACAGAAAAACTGCTTCACACAACTAATACCACAGCGGCATCTGTGATCATCTGGGTGGCACTTCAGGGTTTGGAAAAGTATTCTCATGTCGCAGTAGAGCCGCGCAACGGAAAGGCTGCTATTATGACTGCATTTAAAGACGAGGAAAGTAGGTCATTTGTCCAAAGCTGCATGGCTCGTAAATGTCAGAGCCACGATTGGTTCTCTGGTCTTTGTTTCCCCACCTCACTAAATTCTTAGTGAACAGGTTGAATGGATTCCCAGGAGGGAAGCTTCATGGAGCGAGGGGGCCTGAGGTGTGTCTGGGAAGGGAGACATGGAGATGGGGTGGAGCAAGGGCGGGCAGGGGGACAAAGCAGACAGGAAGTAAAGGTATGTGGGGCCTTATGGTGGTGGTCCTGAAGGCCATGCTATATGATGGGACAACATTAATCGCAACAACATTCGCATTACAGGGGTCCCAGAAGGAGAAGAGAGAGACAAAGGACCCGAGAAAATATGTGAAGAGATTATAGTCAAAAACTTCCCTAACATGGGAAAGGAAATAGCCACCCAAGTCCAGGAAGCGCAGAGAGTCCCATACAGGATCAACCCAAGGAGAAACATGTCGAGACATATAGTAATCAAACTGGCAAAAATTAAAGACAAAGAAAAATTATTGAAAGCAGCAAGGGAAAAACAAAAAATAACATACAAGGGAACTCCCACAAGGGTAACAGCTGATTTCTCAGAAGAAACTCTACAAGCCAGAAGAGAGTGGCATGATATACTTAAAGTGATGAAAGGGAAGAACTTAACAACCAAGATTACTCTACCCCACAAGGATCTCATTCAGATTCAATGGAGAAATCAAAAGCTTTACAAACAAGCAAAAGCTAAGAGAATTCAGCACCACCAAACCAGCTCTACAGCAAATGCTAAAGGAACTTCTAACTGGGAAACACAAGAGAAGAAAAGGACCCACAAAAACAAACCCAAAACAATTAAGAAAATGGTCACAGGAACATACAGCTCAATAATTACCTTAAACGTGAATGGATTAAATGCTCCAACCAAAAGACACAGACTTGCTGAATGGATACAAAAACAAGATGCATATATACGCTGCCTACAAGAGACCCACTTCAGACCTAGGGACACATACAGACTGAAAGTGAAGGGATGGAAAAAGATATTCCATGCAGATGGAAATCAAAAGAAACCTGGAGTAGCAATACTCATATCAGATAAAACAGACTTTAAAAGAAGGAATGTTACAAGAGACAAGGAAGGACACTACATAATGATCAAAGGATCAATCCAAGAAGAAGGTATAACAATTATAGATATATATGCACCCAACATCGGAGCACCTCAATATATAAGGCAACGCTAACAGCTCTAAAAGAGGAAATCGACAGTAACACAATAGTGTGGGACTTTAACACCTCACTTACACCAATGGACAGATCATCCAAAATGAAAATAAATAAGGAAACAGAAGCTTTAAATGACACAATAGACCAGATAGATTTAATTGATATTTATAGGACATTCCATCCAAAAACAGCAGATTACACTTTCTTCTCAAGTGCGCACGGAACATTCTCCAGGACAGATCACATCTTGGGTCACAAATCAAGCCCCAGTAAATTTAAGAAAATTGACATCATATCAAGCATCTTTTGACCACAACGCTATGAGATTAGAAATGAATTACAGGGGAAAAAACGTAAAAAACACAAACACATGGAGGCTAAACACTACGTTACTAAATAACCAAGAGATCACTGAAGAAATCAAAGAGGAAATCAAAAAATACCTAGAGAGAAATGACAGTGAAAACACGACAATCCAAAACCTATGGGATGCAGCAAAAGCAGCTCTAAGCGGGGAGTTTATAGTTACACAAGCCTACCTCAAGAAACAAAAGTCTCAAATAAATAATCTAATCTTACACCTAAAGGAACTAGAGAAAGAAGAACAAACAAAACCCAAAGATAGCAGAAGGAAAGAAATCATAAAGATCAGAGCAGAGGGCTTCCCTGGTGGCACAGTGGTTGAGAGTCTGCCTGCCGATGCAGGGGACATGGGTTCGTGCCCCAGTCCGGGAAGATCCCACATGCTGCAAAGCGGCTAGGCCTGTGAGCCATGGCCGCTGAGCCTGCGCGCCCAGAGCCTGTGCTCTGCAACGGGAGAGGCCACAACAGTGAGAGGCCCGCGTATCACAAAAAGAAAAAGGAGACGTTACAACAGACAGAGCAGAAATACAAAGCATCCTAAGAGACTACTACAAGCAACTCTATGCCAATAAAATGGACAACCTGGAAGAAATGGACAAGTTCTTAGAAAGGTATAACCTCTCAAGACTCAACCAAGAAGAAACAGAAAATATGAAAAGAGCAATCACAAGTAACAAAATTGAAACTATGATTAAAAATCTTCCAACAAACGGAAGTCCAGGACCAGATGGCTTCACAGGTGAATTCTATCAAACATTTAGAGAAGAGCTAACACCCATCCTTTTCAAACTCTTCCAAAAAATTGCAGAGGAAGGAACACTCCCAAACTTATTCTATGAGGCCACCATCACCCTGATACCAAAACCAGACAAAGATACTACAAAAAAAGAAAATTACAGACCAATATCACTGATGAATATTGATGCAAAAATCCTCAACAAAATACTAGCAAACAGAATCGAACAACACATTAAAAGGATCATACACCATAATCAAGTGGGATTTATCCCAGGGATGCAAGGATTCCTCAATATACGCAAATCAATCAATGTGATATGCCATACTAACAAACTGAAGAATAAAAACCATAGGATCATCTCAATAGATGCAGAAAAAGCTTTTGACAAGATTCAACACCCATTTATGATAAAAACTCTCCAGAAAGTGGGCACAGAGGGAACTTACCTCGACATAATAGAGGCCATATACGACAAACCTACAGCAAACATCACTCTCAATGGTGAAAAACTGAAAGCATTTCCTGTAAGATCAGGAACAAGACAAGGATGTCCACTCTCACCACTATTATTCAACATAGTTTTGGAAGTCCTAGGCACGGCAATCGAGAAGAAAAAGAAATAAAATGAATCCAAATTGGAAAAGAAGAAGTAAAACTGTCACTGTTTGGAGATGACTTGATACTATTCATAGAGAACCCTAAAGATGGAATCAGAAAACTACTAGAGCTAATCAATGAATCTGGTAAAAGTTGCAGGATACAAAATTAATGCACAGAAATCTCTTGCATTCCTATACACTAATGATGAAAAATCTGAAAGAGAAATTAAGGAAACACTCCCATTTACTATTACAACAAAAAGAATAAACTACCTACGAAAAAACCTACCTAGGGAGACAACAGACCTGTATGCAGAAAACTATAGGACACTGATGAAAGAAATTAAAGATGATACCAACAGATGGAGAGATATACCATGTTCTGGGATTGGAAGAATCAATATTGTGAAAATGACTGTACTACCCAAAGCAATCTACAGAGTCAATGCAATCCCTATCAAATTACCAATGGCATTTTTTACGGAACTAGAAGAAAAAATCTTAAAATTTGTATGAAGACACCAAAGACCCCGAATAGCCAAAGCAGTCTTGAGGGAAGAAAACGGAGCTGGAGGAATCAGACTCCCTGACCTCAGACTATACTACAAAGCTACAGTAATCTAGACAATACGGTACTGGCACAAAAACAGAAACACAGATCAATGGAACAAGATAGAAAACCCAGAGATAAACCCACCCACCTATGGTCAACTAATCTATGACAAAGGAGGCAAGGATATACAATGGAGAAAAGACAGTCTCTTCAATAAGTGGTGCTGGGAAAACTGGACAGCTACATGTAAAAGAATGAAATCAGAACACTCCCTAACACCATACACAAAAAGAAACTCAAAATGGATTCGAGACCTAAATGTAAGACCGGACACTATAAAACTCTTAGAGGAAAACATAGGAAGAACACTCTTTGACATAAATCACAACACGATCTTTTTTGATCCACCTCCTAGAGTAACGGAAATAAAAACAAAAATAAACAAATGGGACCTAATGAAACCTCAAAGCTTTTGCACAGCAAAGGAAACCATAAACAAGACGAAAAGACAACCCTCAGAATGGGAGAAAATATTTGCAAATGAATCAATGGACAGAGGATTAATCTCCAAAATATATAAACAGCTCATGCAGCTCAATATTAAAAAAAAAACAACCCAATCCAAAAATGGGCAGAAGACCTAAATAGACATTTCTCCAAAGACATACAGATGGCCAAGAAGCACATGAAAAGCTGCTCAACATCACTAATTACTAGAGAAATGCAAATCAAAACTACAATGAGGTTATCACCTCACACCAGTTAGAATGGGCATCATCAGAAAATCTACAAACAACAAATGCTGGAGAGGGTGTGGAGAAAAGGGAACCCTCTTGCACTGTTGGTGGGAAGAGGCTGGTAAAATAAGTGACCGAAATAAACGGAGGGATTATGTAACGCAAACTAGGAAGACAGTGGGAAGAAATACAATTGTGCATTTAGGCAGAGTTCCAGCTGGAAGACATGTCACCCTCCCCATCTAGCCACCAGCACCTACCTCTCTGCCACGTGATGGTGGTGGGGTCAATGTCAAGACGGGCAAACTTCCTCATTTCCTGTTCTGTCAGAGCGCTCGGATCAGTCTTATTTATTCCCAGTTTCTAACGATTAAGAAGAACAAAATATGTTTTAGAAGGAATGAAAAGCAAGATGGAACCAAATTATCCCTCTACTTTTACCTTCTCCATGACTAGTAAAGCCTTTTTAAAAACTAAGCTGAACTTCAAGTAAATGGTAGGTTAGTCCAACTCATATATGAATGGGTCCAATCACCTCCTAAAATGGGAGACACAGATACTTGTAATAATACACCCTTCGAATAACAGGTGACAGTACACAAAGAATAAGTGCCGTATTGTCTGTCATAGCCTAAGGCTCTCTACGTGGTCACCACGTGCCATGCACAGAAGGGGCATAAAACTTCCATCTAACTAATGCTCCAGTTCACTAGCTGTTCTTTTCAGATATGAATACCAATAATTTTTTTAAAAACAATTTCCTCTTTTATTTATTTATTTAATTTTTATTTTTGGCTGCGTTGGGTCTTCGTTGCTACGCGCAGGCTTTCTCTAGTTGTGGCAAGTGGGGGCTACTCTTCCTTGCAGTGCACGGGCTTCTCACTGCGGTGGCTTCTCTTGTTGCGGAGCATGGGCTCTAGGCACGTGGGCTTCAGTAGTTGTGGCACACGGGCTCAGTATCTGTGGCTCACAGGCTCTAGAGCGCACGCTCAGCAGTTGTGTCTCGCGGGCTCTAGAGCGCAGGCCCAGTCGTTGTGGCACACGGGCTTCGTTGCTCCGAGGCATGTGGGATCTTCCCGGACCAGGGATCGAACCTGTATCCCCTGCACCGGCAGGCAGATTCTTAACCACTGCGCCACCAGGGAAGTCCCTACCAATAAGTTAAGTCACGATTATGTCTATGTTTTCAAGTTATTTCTAATTCCACAAGAAAAAAAATTAAAACTTTTAAAGCATCTCTTTCTATAAAGAAAACACTCTAACAAAGTGGTTTTTGATAAAGTACAAGAAAAGGATCTGGGAAACAAACTATAAACGTTGGAGACGCTGAGGATACCATATTGTGCGTTATTCTCAACAAACTGAACTTGGTTCAGTAAGAAGCCAGGGGATGAATTTTTTAAACCAATTCTCACCAACCAGTGCCTGTAGATTACACCATTAAAGTTATTTTTTAGTCTGAAAAAAAGCAAAGGGAAAATCTATGTGATAGTAGGGCATTAAGTAGCAAACAGCACTAGAAAATGGTAAAATGGATAAGAATTAAGAGCATATCCACAAATACAATCTTAGAATCTTGCTACCATAAAAACTGAAATAGATGAATTTTCAAAGTCTTTCTTAGAAAGTTAAGAACTGTCATGAAAAAGGTAGACTCCTGGCAATCCTCATCTGTTAGTTGATTAGAGTCCTCAGCAGAGTGGTGCCCTCGTTTTATAGATGAAGAAGCTGCCATCTATAAGAATGAACTCATTTGTCCACCTGCTTTTTGGTGCAGGATCAAGGCCTCAGGCATCTAGTTCTGGGCAATCTCTGTTACACTGTTCTACTTAGAGTTCAGTATCCAAAAAAAGCATCTGAAAACCAAAATCAAATCAAGTTCAAAATTTCTGGTTCTGACAATTTTTCTGATTTGTTTCCAGGGTATTTTCTTTTTAAAGAACCATTAACTAGAAACTTACTTTCAGCCGAGCAAGTTGAATTTTTGAAAATTCTCTAACACCATTCACTGAAGCAACCAGTCGATTATACAGAGCCTAGGAACGCAAAATAAAAACAAAACTCACAAAAGTTTAAGGGCCAACCATGAACTTGGACAACGTACGGAATACGGCAAAGTTCATTACATTTATAACCAAACTGTTTAGATTACAGACCCTATTAAAATTCTTGGTTAATGTAAACAATTTAGACTGAAGTTCTGTCATTTTAATAAATCCGACTAGATCTGCAATAATGCACATTTCTTGATCTACAGCCTTATAACTACCGAATTAAAATTTATCTCTGTATTTATTTTTGGCTTCAAAAACTCACTAGGGAGTTAGTTTAATTGGAGGATGTCAGGACCTTTGTAAAATGTGTCAGAAATTCCCACTTTTATCCATGTCCTATGTCTATGAGGAATTAGCATCTAGTAGTCTGTCCCCTTCAGGTGTGTGATTTACCTCTCATACCCTACAGCCCTGAGGCCCAAAAAGGGGGTCTGACCTGTTTAGCAGGGCATCTAGGATAGCTGCCTGTAACATCAGAATCTTAAAAAGATAGCTCTCCGACCCCCTTAGCAGAGACCAGAGATTACACCCATGGGCAAAACTAAGAGAACTTGTCTACCAATTACCTTTAAAACTAAAGGTTCGTCTTGAAGACAATTTGGCTTAAAAAGTGCAACTAGCATAATTCTCCCAATAACTTGGTAGTGGTCATAAACTCATTTGAGAACCTTACCAAAGTAAAGATCCTCTCCTTAAGAAATAAGGACATATATACAATTCACAACATTTTGAGTAGAATTTCAGAGAACTTTCAGACTCCAAAAGTTTTTTCATGAATTCCTTAATCCAGGAATCCCAGGATAAGATGCCCAAAATGGCCAACAAGGAGGCTTTCTCACCTTATCTGTTTGAGTATTTTCATGCAAAATCCTTGTGTCGATAGCAGCGGCCAACAAGTTATTAGCAGCGGTGATGGCATGGATGTCCCCAGTCAGGTGAAGGTTGAACTATAAAATGCAACGAAAACATCTTTCTACTTGTTTCAAACAACCATTGCAGTACTGAAGGACTTTCCAAATAAACAAAATATTCTGCTAATGACATATCCTTACAATGCTTAGGATATGTTTTATATAGCCTGAATCCGAAAATCAGAAAATGTCAGTCTTCCACTTGACAACAAAGAACACTTGCACAGACTTTCTACTGCAAATTCTTCCTTTCTCAGGTTAAGAGTGAAACAATTCTGATGGACTTAATGATTGGATTCCTTATTTTGGTTTTCTTTTTTCATGTACTTTTATGCACTGTTTTATAATTAAGAAAATAGTACCATATCAAATGTACTTTGGGATAAGGCACGGAATAAAACACAGTAGCAATAGAACAATATAGAATGTGACAGCCTGAGAAACAGAAAAAGAAGTATCACTCTCACAACTCTATTTCGTTATTTTTCTTCGAATCTTATGTGCACACATGATTATTATCTGTAGAATTAGCATGTTTGTAATTTGCTAACTTCTTCAGATAGTTCTAACTACCTTGTCCCTCAGTTTGGCCCAACTTGGGCCATGCAGGTGATGCCATATGGCAGCAGGTCAGCAGCGCCCTTTCAATACTCGATGGCACAATCCTGAGCTGTTCCCCAGGCCACGTTCCTTACACTCCATCCCCAACCTGGCCCCCTGGCTCTGGAGCTTCCTGGCTTGTGACTGTTACTCATCCTCCTGCAGATGTGAGGCCTGGGGCTATTTTTCTCAGCCAAGCCTTGACTATGCTTTCTCACTCCCACCCCCAATATTTGAAGATTATCCAAAATTTCCCTCTAGCTTCCATGATGCTCACGTCTCTGTGGGTAAAAAGAAAACCCTTTCCTTTTCCTTCAGCAAAACCAACAAATATTTCCTAGTGAGCACCTCCTACGTGCTGGGCACACTGCTAAGTGCTGGGGCCCAGGGGGTCTAACTCCTCACAGCCCTATGGGACCACACGGAGGTAAACACAGAGCAGGAGGGGATCTGTGGGATGGAATAGAACCTCGATGGAGCAGGTACCATTTGAAATGTGAGCTGAGCAGGGAAGGCAGGAAAGGAAGGGAAGAACATTCCAGACTTGGAACCAAGAGACAACAGGGCAAGGAGTTTGAGAGGGTGGAGACAGGGAAGGTGGCGTGGGAACCTGAGACACTGAGGGTGGAGAGACGGCCGGAGCGTGACCGAGTAACTGCTGAAATGCAGGCAACAGAAAAGGACATGGGCTTTAGGAAGACTTCTCAGGACCTGAACCAAGAGGCTGATGTGGAGAGTGGAACTGATGGGACCTGGTCACTGGTTAAATCCAGGGGACAAGGAAGTGTTAATACAGAGTGTAGAAACTGGTCTTGTAGAAATAAGAATTGACACCATTGGCCTATTTGGACCATTTTTTTTTTTGGAACTATGGTTGTCCCTCAGTATCCATGGGGAATTGGTTTCAGGACCCCGTAGATAGCAAAATCCACAGACCCTCAAAGTCCCTTATGTAAAATAGTGTAGTATTTGCATATAACATACTCTCATCCTCCGGTATAATCTAAATCATCGCTAGACTACTTATAATACTCAATACAATGTAAATGTTACGAAAATAGTTACCAGCGTGCATTAATTCAAGTTTTGCTTTTTGGAACTTTCTGGAAAATTTTTTTTCCTGAGTATTTTCAAGCTGCAGTTGGTCAAAACCATGGATGTGGAACCTGTGGATACAGATGAGCGACTGGATTTGATTCTGGAGTCTCAGTTCACAGAAGTGAAGAGTCCAGGCCTTCCTGAATTCAGCAGTATAACAGATGATTGATGGACATACAGCTCTGCATCCTCTCATCCAGAACCCCTGAGGTGGGTTTTGGGATTCAGAATTTTTTGGAATGTAGAAAGGTAGTGTGATGGACACATAATTTAATTATAAAACATTCCAAGCAAGGCCCAGGTCAGCAACCATTAATCAAAAATAATATTTCTGCAGCAAAATATATGAATATTTACACCTAGTGGCACAGACAAAATCCATAAGTAGCTCATTAACAGTAAATGTCAGGTTTTCCCCCAAATGGGTCAGGCAAACATTTCTGGTTTTCAGAGCCTTCAGAACTTTGGGATCGAGGATAAAGTACTGTGGGCCTGTATTTATAGAAGCACAGAGAAAAGGTTCCGGGAGGGAAAAACAGTGACACAAGACACGTGTCTCTTGGAATCTTACCTCTTCCATAGGGATGACCTGGGCGTATCCGCCACCTGCAGCTCCTCCTAAACAACAGAGCAGGTATCATTTGAAATGAGTTGCCAAGTACAGGAGCCCCAGGGACACAGCTCCCCAAGCCCAACAGGGAGGCACGTACCCCCAAGATGTAATAAAAAAAGGCAGTGAGAAATAATACGTCTCGGGCAAAGCAGCACAGAAGGTGAAGAAAGTTCACCCTACGTCCCACTATATAATTTAAGGACTTTGGTCTCTTTGTTTAAAAGGGGGGTAAGCAGAATACAGCAACCGGCGTTACAGCGAACATGAGATTCTTTCGTTAATTTATTATTAGATCTATGTGGCTATGCTTCATCTAAACTGCACATGCATTTAAAGTACCAAAAACTTTCCTAAATAAAATCTACCTGATCAACAGACTTACACATTACAGACTTCTGTCAGTTTATTTTAGTTAATAGTATATATGATTTGTCATGCTGCTTATCCCTCAAAATAGTAAAGTTATTACATTAAAAAGACTTCTCTATCCTAAAACAATGATACCTTCTGTGTCCACATCATTTTACGGTTGACCTTATTTTTATACACTATTTTGCCTCACGATAATCTGGTAAGCCTAGTACTATATACCTTTTCCTTTTACACTTTTACGGCTTTTGCGGCTCAGAGAAGTTATGACTGGCTAAAGGTCACACAGCGGTAAGAGATGCAGCCACAAATAAAACCCCAGCCTTCTTGTCCACGTCTAGTGTTCACTGCACTACATACAGTATGACATTCTAAGAGTACTTAAAGTTAGGAGTTGTTAATATTTGTAACAGTAATATAAATATAATACTGCTAAAAACCACAAAGTACCGAGAACAAGCAGTAATTGTAGCAGTAAAGGCTATTATAAAGTGAGCTGAAGAATGATTCATGATAAATCCATGAAGAAACACTAGTGACTGTGGAGGTGCCAGATCGCAGCCCAACCACAGCCACAGAGGAGGTTCACCGCATCTCCCGGTCCACAGCCAGTTTCCAGAGCTCCTCAGGGCCCACGCAGCAACTCCAACGACATGAGGCTTGGGGCTGACCTAAGGGATCTCTTAACGGTTTGGATGGAAAGACCTTTTAGCTTGGCTGGGATGACAAAACACCAATATAAACAGCTGAGTTTCAAAACCGCTCGGCAAAGAAGGTACTGATGAGATGGAAGGCTTTCTGCTCAAGGCTGGAGTCCCGAGCAAGAGCCCAACCATTGCTCAAGGGAAGCAAGGGAATCGGCTTCCTGAGGGCCTCCGCTGAGACCTCGCGCTGAAGCTGTCTCTGCGGGAGGATCATGCTGGGGCGACCTCCTGAACGTGCAGGGAGGCGGGGGAGGGGGGGAGGGCTGCGGGAGTGCACGCAGAGATGAAACGTATCAGTTCCTCTAGTAAGCTGTAATTCCACGATTGTCGGTGATAAATTTTGCTCTGAAAAACATACTAGTTGTTAAATAAACTACCTTTCACTCCAAAAGTCGGTCCTTGAGAAGGCTGCCTCAGACAGGCAAAGGAGTTGATGTTCAGGTGCGCAGTCAATGCCTGCACGAGCCCAATTGTAACTGTACTTTTCCCTTCTCCAAGAGGGGTGGGTGTGATCCTGGTGTGGGGGAAAAGGAATAGTAAGTTTAATATTTTCTAGACAACCTATGCACAGTCAATCTATGGTACAAGAACCAACTCGGAGGAGACCGAGAGAGACCAGGCCACTCCAGAATCACTGAATCATTCAACTTCCTTGGATCTTTTTACGGTCTACCCACATCACAGAGGCCACGCTTAAGCTAAAACCAAGATATAGACATATCTTTACCAAGAGTGCCAAGAAAGAAAAGTTAATTCAGCAATCGTGCCAATAACACTATCAACTTCAAGAAATGGCAAAGAATTATTCATCAAAATGATTTAAATAATTAAGCTGATGTCATTTTCTTGCTGATGGATAACTCGGCATTTGTTCTTCCAGGGCCATTTACCGAGGGCATTAAGTGGGCACGAGGCCTAAGTCAACGGTCCACGGGTGGTGAGGCATGGCCAGACTCTCATTTCGGAAGGGATTCTAATGTCCCCATTCATCCATCTCCTTCTAGATATCAGTGTCCGGGGCTTGTCCAGCCATGTTTAAACACAAGCTGTGCTGGAGGCTCATTACCTCCAGGGTGGGCCATTCATTTCCTGATAGCTTTTACAGTGAGACAAGTTCTTTGTCCTAAAGAGGAGATATCTGCATTCCTGTAGCTTCCTACAGACACACACAGCCTCTCCCTTCCCATACAACAACCCTTCCAGTATTTGGAAGGAGTAAGTCCACAGCTCCTAAGCACACTCAGGAGGTTAAGTCTGCTCTGGGAGCTCACTGTTGAGCACACACCCTACAAAGCCAAGCATCAGAGGCTCACAACATCAAAGAATTAAGTAATGGGACAGGCGTATATTACATTCCCAAGTAAAGACCCATGAAATTGTTCCTTGGCATATCCTAACCACTGTTACAAGTTTAAAAACTTATTTTGCCTTACAATTTAGTCTTCTGTGGGTTAGATGCTGTGAGCCAGATTGTCTAGGACGCTCAACCAAAACAAAACCGATGACAGAGTTTTCTGACCCATGAAACCCATAAAACCCAGCGATGTGACCACAAAGAAGTAATACAACTACCTCCGTCCACCACAGCAATACAATCAATCACTCTTTCAGCAAATATTTCTTAAGTACCACTGTGTCCAGGTAAGTAGACCCCGGGGACACAGTGACGACCACACTGGACTCCACTGCTGACCTCACAGAGCTTATGGTCGATGGGAGATGTGGAGAGATCAATCAGCAGTTACAATGAATGTGAGAAACGCTGAGACAGAGGAAACAGGGCAATTACACTATATTATGAGAGCACACAGGACGATCTAAGTAGACTTGGGACAGCAGGGAAAGCTTCCTGGTGGAAGTAACATCTAAGCTGAGACCTGACAAATGAATGAGAGTTCGCCAGAGAAAAGGGAGGGTGGGTTTGGGGTGGTTAATATGCTAGGTTCTGTGCTTTATATTTGTTGGGTTAATCTTCATTTGATAGACGAGGAAGCTAAGGCACAGGAATTTTAAGTATCCTGCCCAAGGCCACACAATTAGTAAGCAGTAGAGCTGGAAATTAAACCCAGGCAAGTCATCTGACTTCACTAGGTTATTTCTATGGATGGAAATCATTATCGATCATGAGTAATTTAAAGCATGGGAATGGGGACGATCAGCCAGTGGAGGGAACAGAGTACAAAAGGGATAAAGATAGAATTGTTAAGAACATGGTCTCTTAGGGAATAGTTAGAAGAGAGCAAAGGGAAACTAAGAAGGAGCAGTATTAAGTTCGGGAAACCCTGACAGGAGGCAGAGGTGTGACAGGGGAATCTCCGAAGGGAGCCATGGAAGCGTCCCCAGCCTCAAATGCAGTCCAGTGAAAAGGGGTCACTGGATGTAGCAACAAGGAGGCCACTGGGAGGGAGCTAGTGGTCCCACTGGAATGCTCCTCGGTGAGGTACACTTCCAACCAAGAGCCACAGGCATCACGATCTTACGTAAAGAAAATGCAGGTCAGATGTAGGGTGGATTAAGTACTGTACTGGTATTTACTTCTTGCAAAGCAATAGCGGCTTTACTTAAATGTGTCACATGAAGGATTAGATTTTCATCCCTAAGGATATGCTCACAATGCTGCTGGCGAGAGCCAAAAGCAGACACGCCCAGAGATGACCTCCCAAAAACTTCAGCTAAGCATCCAGCTCTTAATGAGAAACACAGGACTGCTGAGCGTTCTGCCAACTGATACAATTCAGGAAAATCAGAAAGTAGGAAGTATTTATGGGGAGCAATCAAAGGAGAGCTACCAAAAAAATTTTATTTCACCTCAATTCCTACATTTGGCATCAAAATTTGGCTTAATTGTCATCTCACGATCCTTAGCTCACATTCCAAACTATCAAGTTGACTGAGGAAAGAATAGGCACCATGTTAACCTAATTTCTTTTTCTGTAAGAGCCTGGAGTTTATGGAAATGTGACTGTGGGTTCTGCTCATTATCTTCCGCATCTTCTCCTAGGATATTTATCTGCTCCCTCCAACTTCCCACAGGACTCATTTCATGCTTATTAGCTAACTTTTCAGGGGGCATTATGACTACAAGCTTGCTGAGGTGAAGGACTATTTCCATTGCGTTTCTGTCACACGTCCAGGCACAGATGAGCAAAAAACATCAGAAAAAGAAATGACACCTTTTCTAAGACGCATGTTATTCACTGTCAACTACAGTAAAAACGAATTGAACGAGTTGGAGATCTCCCAGACATTTCCAACTCAACGATAAAACCCAGGTCCACTCAACGACCAGCAAGCTACAGTGCTGGACACCGTATGCCAAACAACTAGCCAGACAGGAACACAACCTTACCTATCAGCAGAGAAGCTGCCTAAAAGCATAATAAGGTCACAGTCATCCCAAAACACACCACTGGACGCAGTCCTGCCCAACAGAAAGACAAGATCCAGCCTCATCCACCAGAACACAGGCACCAGCCTACACAACCCACTGAACCAACCTTAGCCACTGGGGGCAGACACCAAAAACAACGGGAACTATGAACCTGCAGCCTGCAAAAAGGAGACCCCAAACACAGTAAGATAAGCAAAACGAGAAGACAGAGAACTACACAGCAGATGAAGGAGCAAGGTAAAAACCCACCAGACCAAACAAACGAAGAGGAAATAGGCAGTCTACCTGAAAAAGAATTCAGTGTAATGATAGTAAAGATGATCCAAAATCTTGGAAATAGAATGGAGAAAATATAAGAAATGTTTAACAAGGACCTAGAAGAACTAAAGAGCAAATGAACAATGATGAACAACACAATAAATGAAATTAAAAATTCTCTGGAAGGAATCAGTAACAGAATAACTGAGGCAGAAGAATGGATAAGTGACTTGGAAGATAAAATAGTGCAAATAACTACCGCAGAGCAGAATAAAGAAAAAAGAATGAAAAGAATTGAGGACAGTCTCAAGAGACCTTTGGGACAACATTAAATGCACCAACATGCGAATTATAGGGGTCCCAGAAGAAGAAAAAAGAAAGGGTCTGAGAAAATATTTGAAGACGTTATAATTGAAAACTTCCCTAATATGGGAAAGGAAATAGTCAATCAAGTCCAGGAAGCACAGAGAGTCCCATACAGGATAACTCCAAGGAGAAACATGCCAAGACACATATTAATCAAATTATCAAATATTAAATGCAAAGAAAACATATTAAAAGCAGCAAGGGAAAAACAACAAATAATACACAAGGGAATCCCCATAAGGTTAACAGCTGATCTTTCAGCAGAAACTCTGCAAGCCAGAAGGAAGTGGCAGGACATACTTAAAGCGCTGAAAGGGTAAAACCTACAACCAAGATTGCTCTACCCAGCAAGGATCTCATTCAGATTAGACGGAGAACTTAAAACCTTTACAGACAAGCAAAAGCTACAAGAATTCAGCACCACTAAACTAGCTTTACAACAAATGCTAAAGGAACTTCGCTAGAAAGGAAACACAGGAGAAGGAAAACACCTACAAAAACAAACCCAAGGGCTTCCCTGATGGCGCAGTGGTTGAGAGTCCGCCTGCTGAGGCAGGGGACATGGGTTCGTGCCCCCGTCTGGGAAGATCCCACATGCCGCGGAGCGGCTGGGCCCATAAGCCATGGCCGCTGGGCCTGCGCGTCCGGAGCCTGTGCTCCGCAACGGGAGTGGCCACAACAGTGAGAGGCCCGCGTACCAGAAAAAAAAACAAAACCCAAAACAATTAACAAAATGGTAATAGGAACGTACATATCGATAACTACCTTAAATGTAAATGGATTAACTGCTCCAACCAAAAGACAGACTGGCTGAATGGATACAAAAACAACACGCATATATATGCTGTCTGAAAGAGACCCACTTCAGACCTAGGGACACATACAGACTGAAAGTGAGGGGATGGAAAAAGATATCCCATGCAAATGGAAATCAAAACAAGCTGGAGTAGCAATTCTCCTACCAGACAAAATAGACTATAAAATAAAGACTGTTACAACAGACAAAGAAGGACACTACATAATGATCAAGGGATCAATCCAAGAAGAAGATATAACAATTGTAAATAATAATGCACCCAACATAGCAGCACTTCAATACATAAGGCAAATGCTAACAGCCACAAAAGGGGAAATCGACAGTAACACAATCATAGTAGGACTTTAACACCCCACTTCCACCAATGGACAGATCATCCAAAAGGAAAATAAATAAGGAAACACAAGCTTTAAATGATACATTAAATAAGATGGACTTAATTGATATTTATAGGACATTCCATCCAAAAACAACAGAGTACACTTTCTTCTCAAGTGCTCATGGAACATTCTCCAGGATAGATCGTATCTTGGGTCACAAATCAAGCCTTGGTAAATTTAAGAAAATTGAAATCGCATCAAGTTTCTTTTCCGACCACAATGCTATGAGAGTAGATACCAATTACAGGAAAAAATCTGTAAAAAATAGAAACACATGGAAGCTAAACAGTACACTACTAAAT